GAAACCCTGGGGACCAATGACATCTATGGTGTCCAGACGGCAAGGATTCGGTGAGGGCACGGAGACAAGAGTCAGGGCACAGGAACGGAGCCGCGGAAGGAAGCTAAAGCAGAGTGAGTTTCAAGAGGGAGCCAGCGGTCAATGGGGCAAGGAAGCAGGAACCCGGGAACCGGGAGTCAGAAGCTGGAGGGGTAGGCTTCGGGATCTCACTGAAAAAAGTCTTCAGTTAGGTCACCGCAAGATCCATTTTAGCAGAATGGTGTGGACAAGATCCAGACTGAAGAGGATTAAGAAAAGAATAGGGCGCCTGGGTGGCTCAGTCGTTGAGCGTCTGTCTGCCTTCGGCTCAGGTCATGATCCCAGGGTCCTGGGATCGAGCCCCGCATCGGGCTCCCTGCTCAGCGGGGAGATGCTTCTCCCTCTCCCACTTCCCTGCTTATATTCCTCTCTTGCTGTGTCTCTCTGTCAAATAAATAAATAAAATCTTAAAAAAAAAAAAAAAGAAAAGAATAAAAATGTTACAAATTGAGATGCTATCTATAGCAACTCTAGGGAAACTTGCTTGTAAAATAAAGAGGAAGAGAGAGGAAGTAAGTAGAGGAAGAGCCAATGAAAAGTGTTTTTTTCCAATTTACATGGAATGTATTTAGAAGTTTAAAAACATTTCTTTTCTCTACTTAGCAGCCCAGTTTCTCCAACACCATTTATGAAAAACAAAACAAAACAAAACAATTCCTCCCCATTTATAGCAATCTCTCCTTAAGAGTCATACATTATTACAGATGATGGTTTCTGGGCCATTATTCAGTTTTGGTTAGCTGTCCATTCTTGCACCCATAACACCTGAATGTAGTAATAATAAATAATAATAAAACACCTGGCAAAAGCTCCCCCCCCTTGCTCTCCTTTGTTAAAATGTTCTTAGCGATACTTGCCTGACCTCCTATTACACGCATTCTTTTTAGAAAGTCATATTCATTTATTTAAGTTCTATTTTAACATAAAAGAGTAAAGACCACCCCTTAAAAAAATGTATATGTAAAGTAAGAGGTTCAAGTCTCAACTCCCACCCTCAACACACCACCCACCTAAGTTCTAACTCCAGAGGTAAGTACTAGTCAGGACTTGCTGCCCACCTGTCTGGTAGGTTCCCGAGTTTATGCCCACAACCTACATGTAAATATATGTTCAGGGAAATGCTTCCAAATGTCCATCCCCCAAGGAGCGATTGGAGGGCATGACTTAGCTCCCTCCACCTCTCTCTTACTTCCTTCTACCACCCAACACTCCCTCCCCACCACTCTTACTTTAGAAGTCTGACCATTTACGCTGCTAGGCTTTGCCTTCAGGAGTCTTACTTTAAATCTAAACCTAAAGGTCTCTACACATATACCCAAATTAAATGATCACTTTACCTGCCCACTGGGATGAGATCTTTAACAGATGGGTATGTCTTCCAACCCTTCCCATCCCCACCCCCTTCAACTCATGGATTTAGTTAAGATGACAGGAAACTTGAATGTGGTCATTTAAATTTTTCCTTAAGAATGGGTATGATGGACACACCCTAGGGGGACCCTCAATGAGTCACACCCTTCCCTTGCGTGTGAGCTTTGAACCAAGAGCATCCGGCAAAAGTTAAGCGATTTTGAAGATGCAGTTAACATCCCTAATCAGTTCAATTTGTGTTGATCTCAGGTGGGCCAGACCTAATCAGGTGATATTTTTAGTGGGTGCAGTCTTCTCTCCTGAAGTGAGAGACATGAAACAGCACAAGGTCTCTTTCATATGCCTTTCACTGCTACCTTTCAAGGAGCAAGCTGCCATGAATTCTACAGCCACAAGTTTATGAATTCTGCCAAAAACTGGAGGGAACACAGAGGTTGACCCTTTCCTATTCAAGCCTCAGATGAGAACTCAGTTCAGCCAACATCCTGATTCCAGCCTTGTGGGACCCCAAGCAGGGAGTCCACGAAGACATGCCTGGACCAAAGGAACCGTTAGCAACTAAAAGGGTATCGTTTCAAGCCACTACTTCGTAGTGATTCATTACACAGCAGAACTAATTGGTAAAGCAGGTGTAACTTGTTTTCAGAAGACTTTTCTTCACCATTAAATTACTGTCCACAATCACTTCAATATCATCTATTTAGGTTTATCCCTGCATTTAAAGGAGTCTGTTCAACGCTCTTCTTCCTGCTCTCTATCTTGCCCTATCTAGTTATATTTGTTCTGATTTAGGTCCAGCTGAGTAAGAATACTTTTTAAAATGATTTTCTTAGAAAGGGGACATGGTGTTATGTTTTCTGTATCCTTAAATGTGCGAAATGTCTTTCTTTTGCCCTCAAATGTAAGGACTACCTGTCCTTTGCACTGAGCAGCCTGAAACATTGCTCCACTACTGTTTAGTTTTATTACAGAGAGGAGAAGGTCAGTGCGGATTTGATTCTTTCTTTTGTCTGTAACTTGTACTCCCCGTGAAGACTCTTATAAACAAAAAGATTTCTCTTCATCCTTAGATTTAGAAATTTTACTAGGAAATCTCAAATGGTGTATCATCTCTTTCATTAACCCCTCTAGCATTCTGCAAGCCCTATTCATTCTATTTGAAAACCAGTTTTCTCCAGCTCATAGACTTCTCCTTCCAGTAATTAGTTGATTCTGGTTTTATTTCCATGTGTTCCTTCTTCCTCTGAGCATCCACCATCCAGACGGAAACAGAGCTCCTGGATCTTCTCTCCACATTTCCTACCTTGTCAGTCAGGATTTCCCTTTCCTCATATTTTCACTTCCACCACAAAATAGTTCTTCTTTTGGCTTTTCCAGATCCAGATTCAAGTTTGGGTAATATATATTACTTTCTTCACTCCCTCCCTGGAGTGGTTGGAGTTGTTGGTTATTGTTGCAATTTCATTTTTATTTTCTAGATTATTTTCCCTTTTTGAGTTGCTGAGACAGGCTCCCCGTACTGGCCAGGGTGAAGGTTGCCAACATCAGGCAGAGACAGATGCCACTGGAGACTCCCCTCCAGTGCTAGACAGGCCGGTCAACTGGTAACCCTGTACACTAAGGCACAGAGTGGAGGCCTCCCAGTTTGGGAGGCTCAGGGCTCTCCAGGAATGAACAGAGACCATTTTCTCTCAGTCATACAGAAAATAAAGGACCGGCTCGGCCCAACTGTGCAGTTATATTAGAGGGCAGCCAGTCTCCATGAGATCTGTAGCTACCCCACCCCCCAGCGCATTAGGTCACATGGAGCACATTCACAGCATATACTTCCTCTTTGTAAACTGAGGGTCCTTGGAGCTCTGCTAGCCATTGATTCGGTTCTCCCCTAACCTTGTGGTGTGCAAAGGCTCCCAACACCTGCATCCTCTCCTTGAGAATCCATATCCTCTGGTATGTTGGGATATCCTCCAGAGTCACTTTGCTTCTTGGGTCATCCCTCATAGAGAGTCAGTAACTGATGGAGGCAAGTCCCAGAAAGATAGAAGGGGTGGAATTTAGAGTATATATAGAAGGATCAACATATGTATCTGTGGCTCATGGTGTGTAATTGTATTTGTTACCGCTTAGGCACGAGAGCATGAGCAATGCCTCAAAGATAGGAAAATTGTATCATCAACTGAAGAATTCGGAATTTTTAATTTTCGAAGCACATCCACTACAACTTTTGTCATTGAAGAATTTCAAAATATCGGTAAACATCACTGTCTTTGCTTTATACTGACAAAATAAAGACTGGTCAGCTTAAGAGTTTACTCCCAGCTCAGCAGGAAGCCCGTGGCACGATTAGGCTGAGCTACTTAGGTCTCCTGACTCACTGCTCCTTTATTCTTCTTTCCAGAATTGATCAGACTCCCTATTTCCCAATACTCTGAAAACCCTGGAATGAAATCCACATGAATGAAGCCAGCACATCTGCCCTTGCAGAAATGGTGGACTTTGACTCTAAATGGGCATCACACTGGGAGAGAAGCAGCAGATCTACTGAACATAAAGCAAACACTTGGCCCAGCCTCATCCCTTCCAGCCAGAGAGACCAGATCAAGTTCATCCATGTGGCCTACACACCCTGAAGGCCCACCAAAAAGACCACTAAATAACGGTGGGTCCATCCAATGAGAAAGAACAGCAGCTGCAAGGCCAGGTTACCAGGCAGATGGATGGTATCAAGTAAGCAGTGCTGGGAGCCAGAGGTTAAATGAAATAGCTATAAATAGAGCCCACAGAGGCATTACAAAAATCTAAACCCAGCCCTGAAGTTGTGGCTTAGAGAAATGTGCGCAGCAGCTGATAAACACGATTTCCTGGCGTGGTGCCGTCCAAGGATGTCTGGGCTTAGAATGGAGCCACACCATTGAGCCCACTGGGGAGGCAGAAGAAAGGGCATTAGGGACGCGCTGGCTGGGCTTCTGAGGGACACCACTGCCACCTCACCAGGTTATTGGGAGGACTGTGTGAGTTCATGCACACGAGGGCTTAGAACAAGGTCTGCACGCTATAAACACTCTGTCGATGTCGGCTGTTTTTCCAGAGTGACTTTGACACGCATCCACTCAAATGAGCTAACATTTCCCTTGCAACTGACTCATTTAATGAGAATTCACTTTTTTCCAACATGTGAGATTCCACCTGCGTCCTCCACCAACAGCACAGTATCCTGTCTCTGCCCAGCGAGCCCCAGAGCCCTGTCCTTCGATCTATGTCTGACGGGGCACTTAGGCTCACTTCTCACCATCAGCTTTGTACACATTCAACAGAGAAAAGAGTGAGGATAGAGGAAGAAGGAAAGGACAGGAGAGAGATTTTTCAGTTTATCAAGAGGAAACCCCAGGCTTGCTAATTGCTCTCTTCGGTCCCATAAATCATTGCATCTCCAGCATTTGGGTTTTACCCTGAATAATGTAATGCTCCAATTAGAGGTTTATGCATTTGAGTTGAGAAATCCATGATGTCATTTAGGCCACTCGGGCATAAGGAGGCCGAGAGGTGCTCACCTTTGTATTCCGCCAGGCACACACACTCATAGCTGTTAACGAGGTCCCTGCAGGTGGCGGCGTTCAGGCAAGGGGCAGAGAGGCACTCGTTATATTCCTCCTCACAGTAGAGGCCGTGGTAACCTGAAGGGCAGAGAAAAAGGCCTGTGGTCAAACGGGTTCCATTTAAACGCACGCTGGACCAGCTTACAAGAAAGGTGGCGGGGTCGGCATGGGAAGAGCGGCACAGACGGACGGGATTTCAGGAGCTGGGTCCCCGGGGGGTAAAATTGAAATGTGGCTTTCTGGGAAGGCTAGGAAGAGTGCGTTCTCATCACCTTTTTTTTTCAGGATCCCAAGTATAAAAGGAATGATCCCATTTATCCACCAGATGGTCTCATTACTACATTAGTAGTGACCCGGACACTGGGGTCACGAAGTGCATCGGCTGTGGCCACAGGAGACAGGGATGATCACAGTGGGGTTGACAGCATGGAAGGAACAGCTCCTTTCAAAGATGTGGACCACTCCTCCTCCAATCAGAAAGCCCTATCTAGCAACTAAAGAGAATTTTATTAAAAGAGAAAGGGATCCATTATTTCCTTTGCTCTTCAGGTCAAGAAGAAAGTCGGCTAAAAAGGCTTCACTGAAATTCCTGATGAAATGTGGGGTAATTCTTTTTAATTTAAAATTATGATTTGCGGGCGCCTGGGTGGCTCAGTTGGTTAAGCGACTGCCTTCGGCTCAGGTCATGATCCTGGAGTCCCGGGATCGAGTCCCACCTCTCTCTCTCTCTCTCGCGGGGAGTCTGCTTCTCCCTCTGGCCCTCTCCTCTCTCATGTACTCTCTCTCTCTCTCTCATTCTCGCTCTCTCAAATGAATAAATAAATAAAATCTTTTAAAAAAATAAATAAATAAATAAAATTGTGATTTGCTTGGGGCATCTGGGTGGCTCAGTTGGCTGAGCACCTGATTTCAGCTCAGGTCATGATCTCAGGATCCTGGGATCGAGCCCCGCACTGGGCTCTGTGCTCCACGGGGAATCTGCTTGTCCCTCTCTCTCTGCTCACTCTCTCAAATAAATAAATAAAATCTTTAAAAAAATAAAAGAACTATTATCTCAATTATAATATTTTAAATTGTACTTTAAAATTCTAGTTGTTAAAAATAAAATAAGAGCAATGAAGAAAAAGAAACCAACAGTTTCCCAATAAAGATGGCTTTTACTCCGTTTGCAACACAGGTGTTTATTCTAAAGGACAAGAAGACAACATTCTTTGAAATTCACTCATGAATGTTATACTGTTTTTAACTTTCAAAAACATGCGTCAGTGCCAATTTGCAGTGAGACCAAGCCATTTTTTTTTCTGGCCCTGTCCAAACAATGAGAAACACGTGAGTGCTTTCAAAAATCACCCTGCCTGTGTCGGTTCTGAATTCAGATAAGCAGAAAAAATAAACCCTTGCTCAAATGAGAACTAGAACTACTAGTTTTTTTTTTTTTCCAGCTTTCCAACTCATAGCCAACCCTCAAACTCAGAAAGTTCCATTAGTACATGCTAATGTGTTGAACTGTTTTGTTTCTCGTGCCTATTGCAAAAGTAGGTTAAGCTCCTATCTGCAGTATTAACAGAGCACTTTTTTCAAGTTTGTTGCCATTTCAGTTGTTTCTGAACTGCTTTCCAAAATGAGACAGTGATAATAGCCCCCCTGAGGAGACCTTGACCTACCTGAGACAAACAAGCCATGGTTTTCAATTCTTCCATCTTACCCTACTTTTTGTAATTTTAGGGCAATATTTTTTATTTCCCTTCATCAGTATTTTGATCATCTAGATCAGAGTTTCTCAACTGACAGCAATTTTGCCCCCAGAATTTGGCAACGTTTGGAGACACTTTTGGTTGTCACAACTAGGGTGGAGGGGAAGGAGCCTGCCACTGGTATCTAGCATCAGGATGCTACTAAACATCCTGGGAGGCATGGCACAGCCCTCCATGACCACTCCCCCGCCCCCAAAAAAGATCCAGCTAAAATGCTAACAGAGTCAAATGGAGAACCCTGCTCTAGTTTAAGGATCAGCAAACTCTGGCTCACAGGCCAAATCCATCCCAGTCTGGTTTTGTAAATAAAGTTTTATTGAGACACAGTCACACTCATCCATTTATGTATTGTCTATGGCTGTGTTCCCACTACAACAGCAGCCTGAGTAGTTGCAACAGAGACCATATGGCCTGTGAGGCCCAAAATCCTTACTAGCTGGCCTCTTAGAGAACAAGTTTGCTGACTCCTGATCTGGGTTCAACAGAAAATCTTTCTTTTTATGAGTTTTGGACATTAACTCTTTATCAAATAGATGGCTTGCAAGCATTTTCTCCCATTCCATAGTTGTCTTTTATTAAGCAATTTATTTATTGCTTCCTCTGCTGTGTTGTTTTTTAGTTTTAGCCCCACTTGTCTATTTTTGCTTTTGCTGTCTGTGCTTTTGTTGTCATATCCAATAAATCATTGCCAAGACCAATATTATGAAGATTTTCCCCCTATGTTTTCTTCTAGGAGTGTTACAGTTTCAGGTCTTACATTTAAGTCTTTAATCCATTTTGAGTTGTTTTTTGTGGAAGGTGTAAGAGAATACAAGTAGCCAAGAGGTTAGAAGATGCTCAACACCACCAATCAGCAGGGAAATGCAAATCAAGACCACGATGAGATATCACATCACACCTGTTAGAACAGACATTATAAACACACAGACACACACACACACACACACACACACACAGAGAGAGAGAGAAAACAGTAAGTGCTGGCAAGGATATGGAGAAATGGGAACCCTTGAACACTGCTGGTGGAAATGTGAAATGGTGAAAGCGCTAGGGAAAACAATACAGAGAATCCCCCCAAAATTAAAAATAGAACTATTATATGAATTATAATGGCATTTGTGGGATTTATCCAAAATAATGGAAAACGGGATCTCGAAGAGGTATTTGCATTCCCATATTCATTGCAGCATTATTCACAATAGCCAAGAGGTAGAATCAACCAAAATGTCAATCAGCGGATGAATGGATAAAGAAAATGCAGTTTATACATACGATGGAATATTATTTAGCCCTTAAAAAAGGAAAGAAATCTTGTCATATGCTATAACATGGATGAACCTTGAGACTATAAGCTAAGTGAAATAAGCCAGTCACAGAAGGACAAATATTTCATGATTCCGGTTATATGAGGCATCTGAAGTAGTGAAACTCACAGAAGCAGAGTAGAATGGTGGCTGTCAGGGGCTGGGGGGTAGGGGAAAATGGGGAGTTGCTGTCAATGGATATAGAGTTCCAGTTTTGCAAAATGAAAATGTTCTAGAGATCTGCTGTATGACAATGTGCATATCATTAATAAAACTGTACTGTACCCTTAAAAATTTGTAAATAGGGTAGATTTCATGTTATGTGATTTTTCTCACAGTTAAAATTTTTTTCATATATTACCTACATAACAAGTTCATTGTCTTTCGGCTTCTCAGTGTGGAGCAACAATCGCAAGGAGCATCTTTCCAACTGTATTTGCTCTTCTAACAGATCTTTTAAAAATCAGTTTGGAAGAACAAGAGATAATCCTACAAGCATCTTTGACCTCGCAATTGGGGTGTTATTTACACGGACAAAAATCAAAAGCAAATTTCATGAAATCATTTGTAATTGTTTTCATTCTTTATAAACTGTATCATTCTCTTCTTCCACTAGTAACATGAAAAGCAAATAAGGAAGTTATTTTACAGAGATAATTAAGCTGGTGATGTTCTTCTTCCTTGGGGGAAAAGAAAAAGATAAAGGTTTCATATTCTGAAATTGTTTCTTCAGGGATGGTAACATTTCAACATCTTTATGGAAATGTCAAGGCACTCCTTACACTGGGTACCAAAGAACCTCAATTGGACTGTTTGAATAAAAAGGCATTCCTTCCAAAAGAGAAGGCTTCTGTGAAAATGAGGCTGCCACCCCCTGCTAGTAATTAATTCGGGCAAACAAATTAGCTCAGGGCAGTATGCCCAGGGTCTAGGAAAATTAGGCTAGTCCATAGAACTTTTTTAAATAAAACAAAAGATCAGAAGGGTGAGATCAGAGTGGCCCTTTCCAGGGCACCGATCTTCATCACCACCACTCCCATCTGTGCATGACTTGCTCCTGAATATTCGACTCCAATATTCCTTAAATTGACAGAACACAGTGATCAACTGGACGTAAGGAGTGAGAGTGGTCAAGATGGCCACCATGTTTAGGCTGAATGAATGGATGATGTTGCCATTAACACAACCAAAGGAATATCAGGTTTTTGAGAAAGTTGACCAGTGGATTTTGTTTAACTTAGGGCTCACTTAGGGAGGTCCGGGTGGCAGCTAGAAAAATAGACTTAAATAGTGTAGAAACAGCATCTTGGGAATGTGTGGCCTTGAAGTGGTGCTGAAGTTTCATCAAAGAAAAACTCTGGAGAAGAAAAAAGAAGGGATCGAGATCAGATCAACATGGATGGGCAGGCGGAGGAGAAACCAGATCAGGACACTGGATAGGGATAAGGCAAAGGAGCGGAGGAAAGGCCAAGGAGAGCAACGTCATGGGAGCCAGGAGAGGGAAGGAAATCAAGGAGGGCTGCTCAAAGGCTTACTAAAGACTGAAAAATGACAGCTGGATTAGAAGATTAGAAAGTCACTGGAGGGGCGCCTGGGTGGCTCAGTCAGTTAAGCGTCTGCCTTCGGCTCAGGTCACGATCTCAGGGTCCTGGGATCGAGCCCTGCATCAGGCTCTGCGCTCAGTGGAGAGTCTGCTTGTCCCTCTGCCCCTCCTCTGCTTGGGCTCTCCTGTCTCTCCAATAAGTAAATAAAATCTTTATTAAAAAAATCATAACTCTAAATGGGAGGTAAACTACCCTTTAGAGGTTGTTTTGAAAGTTGGGGGTAGGGGAAGGATTGCTTATCACACTGATTGGGGGATTCGACTGGAATTTAGTGGGTAGAGGCCAGAGATATTAAGCATCTTGTAACGTCTAGGATACCCCTGCACAACCAGGGATGCCCTAGCATCCTTCATGACTTCTGTCTGTCCCATCAGAAATTCATGGAAGTGACAACCCTGTTCGTAACCTTTCAGGCC